CCTAATTTTCTATGATCCTGGAGCACACTCATTCATCTTTATAACTGTCCTTTCGGCTGATACCCCACAATGTATAAATCTGCCTCCTCCCTTTCCTGATTATTACAGCATTCAAGAAAATTAACTCGTGACTTTGGAATGAGCCTCAGATTTTTGGCTGGAGGGCTGGTTTGTCCTGTATGAAGCAGGCACAGAAAGAAAGGAGGGAATGGGACTTTGTTCAACACATTTTGAACGGGCCAGTTTCTTGTTGAATTTCTAAGGGGTGGTGAAGTTTGGGGGTAATGTGTGTAGGTGAGGGAGTTTGTGTCTAAAGAATTGAAATCCGAACCACCCTTTTCCAAAAGGAGAGCACAGGTGCAGACCAGTTAAGGTCCCCTGATGTCTTCAGAAGTCCTGAGTTCTAAGCCTGCTTCCCAAATGCAGTTCCTATTGGGTTTTTTTGTGACATAACCTTATGGAGAAGAGAGTGGTGTGTTACAAAAGTAGATGCCTAAGCATTTGTTTTCAGGGTCCTGAGCAGGGTTGAATAGGAGCACAGGGAGGTACCAAAGTTACCAAAGCTCCCCGCTCCTTTCCAAAATGAGTCAGGCCACATGTGGGGATGCAGCCAGCCTCATTTGCTGCAAAGAGAAAAGCCAAATGTCTGCTTTTCTCCCACAGCAGCTCCAGCAAATGAGTGGGAACATGGGAGAGTCCAACAGACACTGCTGATGAGGTCAGGCCTCCGCTTACCCCCATGGCCACAGCCATGTTATGTTCCAGTTCCTATATGATAGGGGCATTCCCACCAGGAGGGATAAAACCAGTAGATCTTCCCTTTTGATTCCTCTCTCCTTGGTTCAGATTCCAGAGACCCAAAGGGCTGCTGAGCAAGGTGAAGTTAGAGGTGGTGATTTAGAGGCCACCTGCACTTCCCACGTGGCAGCCTGTGCCAGGTTTACTGCTGTCTATTGCTAGACCGCTCCCCACCCTGCTAAGTAAAAACCTCCAGTTCTGCTGGTCTATGGCAGCCTAGTGAGCCTTTGAATATCTGAAATGGGCCTTCACCCCTGCCCCTTTGCTAGCTCGTCCAGACTCCACCTTGTAATTTGTCTAGAAATAGATGGATCCAGCACTGTAATAGGTGTGATTGTGGCAGGTCAGTAGGGTGCGCTCCTGCACCGAGCTGCCTGCCTCTGTGCCTGGCCAAAAACCAAGCTTCAAGTGCCTGCCCTGGGGCTCCTATGTCAGGCCGACCCCCTTTTTGAACCACACCGGCAAGCCTGGGGTAGCGCTGCCACCACCTGGACTCAGGTCTTTGGGTCCTGTGCCACCCAGGATACTACAGGCCCTGTAACGGGTGTGGTGCTCTCACAATGGCAGGGCCCAAGCCAAATCCTGCATCCCTGCATTTTCTTTTCCTGCAAACTCATCTCAGGAGAAAAGAAATATTGAGATCCTGAGCTATGGACTCATGAGCAAATCTGAGTGGCTTTTGGGAAGTGGTGGTGATACTTTGAAGAGCCATGGCACAAAGTACAGGTTCACAACCTAGTTGCCAACCTGTATCTCCAGAAACTGGCACAAGCAGCAAGGGGGAGTTCTCACTTGTATATAGAAAATCATAGGGGTTAGGTTCACAAGTCAATGGTTGAAGGCAGAGAATAAGTAAAAGAAAGAGCAACATTGTGGTTACAGACAATCAGCACCTTAATTCCCTGCCATGCTTGACAGCACCAGAAATATTACCCAAACAAGGTTTTAGTCCCAGGAGCGATCAGACATCTGCAGCTGCCCCCATGTCTGCATCCAGTTCCTTCAGTCCACTGTCCTGGCAGACCGAGCCAGTGAGATCTCCAGGTCCACTATGTGCTCCTCTGTGTAGGGCTGGGCAGGCTCCACGGCGCGCTGCTCCCTTCCCCTGTTAGTCCAGCCTCCAGCTTCCTCTTCCATTTTCCCTTCTGCCCAGCCCCAGGGGTTTCTGGGAGTAGCCGTCCAAACTCCCAGTGAGCACAGCTATGCAGACTGTCCTTGGTTCCTCCTGTTAGACACATTATATTCACCGTATACTAAAATATTTGCATGTGGCCAAAACCCTCAACCAGAGGCAGCTTTGCTGGGGTCACCGTTTTTCTTGTCCCACTTGAACTTTCAGAGCATGTAGAAATGGGAAGGCGGATGCTCTTTCCCAGACAGTGGAGTATGACACTTACCTGGCACCGGGACCATAGGAACCTAGCCCCATTTTGAAGCCACAAAACATTTTCACACCACCTTGCCAATGGCTCTGCTGTCTGTGCCACCACCTGGAAGAAGTCCATGCTGAAGAGCAGGCTGCCTTCATGTGACCACTGTGTCAAGTCCAAGGTGGGGTTCTCTTCACTCAGGGTAAGATTTATATGCCCTTATGTCTAGCCAAACCCATGGTACTGTGTTTATACCATGATTCATTGTTAACCGGCCATCCTGGAATGGAGGAAACCTGTCAACTAATCACCCGTTACTTTGGTGGCCAGTGAAGACACCTGTGGTCTCTACCAGCCCCTTTCCATTCCTTCTCGGCCTCTTGTAGGCTAAGATCAAGCATGGTTCTTCTCTGATTGAGTGGGTTCTCTATGTTCTGGATGGTGACATATTTACTAAGATGGTGCACTACATCCCATGTGTATGTCTATCCTAGTGTCACCATCCTTTTTAAATGTAAATGTGGGACACCTGCCCACTCCCCTCCACATACCTTCCCAGACTTGTATTCATACATGTACCTCCCAGATTTGGGCATGGACAGATGTGGGCTCCCTGCTGTATGCTCAGGGCTCCCCACCCTGCTTCCCTTTCCCTGGAAGCCCCGTGCCAGCCATGTGCCCCCTGCCCATCTGGCAGCAGCAGGGGACACAACTCCATGCTGCCTTACCCCTGCTGCTCCTGGACAGGCAGGGGCGCATCACCCTGGTGTTTCAGGGTCCTTATGCAGGGCAGCAGGGTGGGGGACCCACAGCCAGCATCTGCCCCATCCCACACACACATCTGGCGGGGGTACGTGGATGAGCTCTTTATATATAAGCAGAACTTGGTATGTTGGGAGATGAACACTCTTGTAAGGATATCGGGGCTAGGGGCAGATGGTGGTACAAAGAGAAAAGTCCAGTACTAGGTTGGAACATAACACCCAGATTAAGATGCGGAACAAGTCCATAGTGCAGGATGGCTCAAAATATTCCAGATATTTGTGGAATGTAATATGTAACTTATTTAGATCACTGTATAAAAGGAGAATTAGAAAGCATGGGACCATTGTATTACCCTCAGGTATCCTACATGGTGTTGTACTGATACTTGTCATGGGCACATATGCAACAACATCTTGTCTGTCAGATCCCAGCTGTGTTTGGGCCCTGGCTTGTAGACAGTAAACCTGCCCAAACCTTTGCCAATTCTTTAAGACAAGATTGGTGTTGGGATCTTATGGCTATGACTTTTTGATAAAACCACAGTCACGGAGACTTCAACACTGAAAACATCTAACTAACATGGAGAGAGGACAGAGACACTGCTACCAGGTACTACAGCAGTACTTCTGGGGCTACCTCATTTTCCAACAAGACCACAGTGCTCTCAGAGGTGTGTCATAAAGAACTAGGGCTGGAAGCGACTTCCAGAGGTCATCTAGTCCAGCCCCCTGCCTGAGGCAGGATCATCCCTTTTCAAACCATCCCATGCAATCATAATCTCAACTGTACATAAAACTGCCCTTAACCCTGATACAACATAGACCTGACACCCTAATCTGCCACAGGTAAAATGGAAAACATGGCAACCGATGTCCTTCTTCTCTAAAATGTCAGTATATACTGAAGAGCTCCAGTGCAAATGGCCATGCCCTTCCCCCCCTAGAGAAAGACAAAAAACTCACAGTCCATACTGTAACAGGGTGGCCTCTTTGTGAGGTCTGTGCCGGCCACCTGTCTGTCTCTGGGGTAACCTCTCGCCTTGCTCGCCTGCCATGCCTTGATAGAAAAAAAATGAAAGTTGTTACTAAGGTGGAAGGCTACCCATTTTCTTGCCCTCCTGATCACTGGGGCCTTAGTACATGCTTCGACCTGCTCTTACATGTGTCCCATGCCTCGCAACCTGTCCAATTTGTCACTTGGATTTGGTCAACTCTGCATTTAGAATGGATCCAATGCAAGAATCTCCCCAGCATCATCAATGCCAATGGAAAGAATCCACTTCACTTCTCCGCTCTCCTCCCTGATAGCACCTCGGTCATCTCCTGGCCACTCTAGCTGTCTGCCTGGCTTTCTGATTCAGGTGCACCTAAAACTCTTCTTCTCATCGACTTCAGCATCTCTTGGGAGATGCTCCAAGGTAACCAAAGTCCTGCTCTCTTCCTGCAGCCATTTTCTGAATGATGCCTTTTAACCCTTGCCAGCCCCCTGGATTTGTCCATTCTACCAAGCTAGGTTTATGCACCATGCATTTGAAGTTTGTACTTCCCCTTGGCCTCCAATAAGGTGTTTCAGATGCCTCCCAGGCTGCCAATTGGCCTCTTAACTACATCTGCCAGAAGAGGTGAGGACCAGCAGATCCTGTAGGGTCAGCCTGGATGGCCCTCAGGGCCTCTGCAGCCTCAGGGTTGCAGGGACTAAGCCTGGCCTGGCCTGACCTAGGCCATCCTTCTCCTGTCTATGCAGATGCTGCCTCATCAGGCCAGGCCTGGCCTGGGGAGCTCTATGGAGATCCCATTTCCTAGTTGGTTCTAGTTCAGGAGCCTGGATCATGGGGCCCTGGGGCAGTGAGGCTGGACCAGGGAGGATGGTGGGGAGCTCTGACCTTTGCCCTTTCCCCCAGGTCATCTACACCCTGTGCAGTCCTGCAGTCTCTTTGTATCACATCACCAAGCTCCTGCGCCAGTACAAGGACGCCAAGTCCCTGGACGTGGTCCTGCAGGACTTCCTGAGCAGCAATGATGAGCAGTGCCCAGGGGCCCTGAGGCAGGGAGACCTGTGCCAGCTGGACACCTCAGTGCCATAGTGCTCCCAACTGCACTAGGCATGTGGGTGCCTAGGGGCTCTAACCAGATCTGGGAGAACCCAGGCGTCGTGGCTTTTCTCTTGGGCTTTTGTTAGATGTGGCGTGGCAGCTCCTTGCCCTATGTGTTCACTGCAACTGCACTCTCCTCGTGCAGGGGTCTTCAGTGCCTGGTTCAACCATGTTTCTGGCTGGTTGGGCCTGTGAGGCCAAGAGAACTTTTTCTACATCACCTACAAGGAGCGGCTACGGGTATGACCCTGAAAACACCTGGCCCTGGCCCTGGCCCTGGCCCTGGCCTAGAGCCAGAGGCCAGTTCTCCATCATCAAATTGAGCCAGGCAATACAATATAAAACTCTGAGCTCACCTTCAAATCTTTGCTTTTCAGTCTTGAACTACAGGTCTTGTTGAACAGATGGACCCAAGGAAGCACTCTTTCTAAAGCCTAATTTGAAAGCTAGGTGAGAAGTCCTGGAGATCTCACTGGCTCGGTCAGCCAGGACTGTGAACTGAAGGAGCTGCACTCAGACTTGGGGGCAGCTGCAGGTGTAGGATCATTCTTGGGATTAAAAGCTTGTTTGGGGAACACTTCTGGAGGTGTTGGGGGTGGAAGGGAATTAAGGTGCTGGGGGTATGGTACCACAATGTTGCTGTTTCTTTATCTTTTGCCTGTTCCCTCCCTTTGGCCTATTGACTTGCGACCCTAACCCCTATGATTTCATATACAAGTCGGAACTCCCCCTTGCTTCTTGTGCCAGTTTCTGGGGTGCAGGTTGGCAAATAGGTTTTTGTCATCCACAAGAACCTGTACTTTGTGCCATGGCTCTTCAAAGTATTGCCACCACTTCCTGAAAGCCACTCTGATGCCCGTGAGTTCACAGGTCAAGATCTCAAGATTTTTCTTCTGCTGTGGTAAGTTTGCAGGAAAAGATGATTCAGGGATGCAGGATTTGCTTTGGGCCCTGCCATTAAAAGAACACCACACCTATTACGGTGCTGGATGTATCCATTTCTACCATGAATGACCATTTCAAATATTCAAAGAATATCTGGGCTTCCACAGGTCAGTAAAACTGGAGATTTTTACTTAGTAGGGTGGGGGGAGGACTAGCAATAGTTAGCTAGAAACCTGACACAGACTGCCAGGTGTGGAAACTGCAGCTGGGCTCTAAATCACCACCTCCAACTTCACCTTGCTCAGCAGCCCTTTGGGCGACTGGAATCTGAACCAAGGGGAGAGAAATAAAAAGGGAAGTTCTACTGGTTTTATCCCATCTGGTGGGAACGCCATTATCCAATAGGAACTAGAGCCTAATATGGCTGTGGCCATGGGTTTAAGTGGAGACCTAATTGACCAGAAGGGTCCCAGCTGGACTTTACCACATTCTCAGTCACTTGTGCTGGGGTCGGACTCGCTCCACCACCACTCTCAGAAGCCACAGTGGGGGCGGGCGGTGGCCCCCTCCAGCAGGGCTCTGATTTTCTGTTTTAAAAAAAAGGCCAAAATATATAGGTATTTAGAATGTATTTTATTATGATTGAGGGACTGGTAGGATTTGAAGTTGTTTAAAATTGTAGATATATCAATAAAACATTGTGTTAAACTGATTCACATATAGAGAGGCATTTCATTTTAATCATGGAAAAATGTGAATTTGGGGTTTTTTAATCACAGAATTTGGGATTTGGGGGAAATTTCCCCCTTCCCCTCCATGACCCCAGACTAAGTCATACTCTTTTTTGGAACTGGAAATATGGTAACCCTGCATAAGCATTTGTCATCAGGGCCCTGACCAGGGTTGAATACGAGCAAAAGAGGCACCTAAGTCCACTAGGGCCCCTGCTGCCTGCTTCTCAGTCTGGTGACCCAGACCGTCCCCAAGCCCTGGAGAGTCCAACCCCCACTCCCTAAAAGCTTACCTGTATCCTGCTGCCAGGGCTGCTCCCACTACCCTGCCTGGCTATATGCTGAACACGTGCATGTGCGCACACAGATGCACATGGTGCTCCCTGCTTCCATTTGCTCCAAGTAGCCCTGCATTTTAAAGCAGGAAACAGAAAACTCAGATCCCAAACATGCTCGGTGCTGGGCAAGCCAGGAGATGTAGTTCCACCTACCAACATCCATGTTGAAAAAGGACTATCAGAGGAAATCCTGGACGTTTGTATTTAAAAAAACTGCCCAGATGGAGGTCATAGGACTAAAAAAAAAAAAAAGGACATGTCTGGGAAAACCCGGATGTATGGTAACCCTTATCATGGAGGGTACTTGTACATATGACAAATATTGCCCATTTTTGTTGTTTAATTGTGCCACACTTAACACATACAGGGTTTTTTGTGTTTTATATGAGTTTTGTTATGTTGCAAACTAAACCACATCCGCATATAGTTTAGTTTGCAACATAGCTACTTGAAAAAATTGCAGCCTTTCATCTGACAGCTGATGCCTCAGCTGCAGGAGAAGTGGCCTGAAGGCAGAAGGGGCAAGGGGCCTGATCCTTTTTTTTTCCCCACCATGGAGCCTGCCCATCTCTCCCTCAGCCAGGGGGTGAGCTGCAGGCAGGCCGAGCATCCCCTGACCTGTGGGGGGCCCGGTTTTTTCCTCCAAGGCAGGGAGGCTAAGAGCTGCCCCAGCTCGGAGGCGCCCGATCCAATGCTTCAGGTCTTGCGAAGAAACATCAGGGAACCTTAACTGATCAGCAACCATGCTCCCCTCTTGAAAAGGGTTGGTCAGGATTTCAGTTCTTTTGACACGCGCTCCCTCACTTACATGCTCTGCCCCCGACCTTTACCGCCCGTTAGAAATTCAACAAGTAACAGACACACTGACAATGTGTTGAACAAACTCCCATTCCCTCCCTTCTATCTGTGGCCACCTCCAACAAGGCAAACCAGCCCTTCTCCCAAACCACTGAGCTTCATTCCTAAGTCAAAAGGTTATTTTCTTAAACACTGTAATATAGGGAAACAGGGAGGGGACAAGTTTTATAAGCTGGGGGGTATCAGCAGAAAGGACAATTATAGAGATGAATGAGTGTGTTCCAACATGGGTTATTATTAACCACATGGAGTAGCCCTTACAGGACACTCATGGAGCCAAATGGCTTTGACACTAGCAGGGAGCCTCAGTATTCCCAATGGGAGATTACAACGTGCTGCATTTCACCCACACGATGGGTGCCTTCCTTCTTTCCCCACCCTTCCACAGAAGAGGCAGGACTCATCACAGGCTGCACCTCCTTTACCCCTACTATCACATTTAACCCAGAAAAGACCCTACTCTACTCCCCCCGGCCAGATGTTCATTCAAAACCACAGGGTTCTTGGCTGCACAACAGGACATGGGCCTGATGCCTCAAATGTGACCAACTCCTGCTCATGAGGCTTAGCAAATACCCCTGGACTGTAGTGAATCCTTGGGAAAGGGAAGGGGCTGAGAAACCACAGAGATCTTTGATGAAAAGGGTTCTGGGCCCTGGTCTGTTCCCATGTCTGGAGCTCTGGAGAGGACATAGTGACCAACGCACAGGGATATCACGTTAAGTTGTGGGGCTTGATTACCAAGGACTCTGTTGCAGAGAAAGGCATGAAAGGAAGGAGGGCAGGGGGGAAGCTTGCACCTGGTGGTGCAGAGTTCTGATGGGCTGAAAAGCAAAACCTGCCAAAATTGGGCTCATGGGGTGGCAGCAGCAGTTTCTTGCAGACTCTGATGGGCATGTGCAGACCTGGGAGAGGGGTGACACGGGGGGAGGAAAGGTAAGGTCAGGGTGGAAGGCAGAAAATGGTTCCCTAGCAATAAATTTCCTCCTTCCTGCAACTCTAGAGCTTCAAATACAAGAACCCTGGGGCCAGGAGGGAAGTCAAAGCTGGGAGTCAGCCAAAGACAGTCCCTGGGTGACGTTTGCAGCCAGCTATCTTGGGGAAGGCACCTATTGTGAAGGCAATTCTTCACCTGCTGGGAGCACTGACTGCTTGTAGAGAATGATGGGGATGGCACAGGCTCCAAGGCTGATGCAAAGATCTTCTCCTCACAGGCTCCCCCAGCACAGGGGCTGCCTTCCGCGTGAAGTGTTTCCTTTTAAACATTCACCCACATCGGGCTTGGGAGGCCAGCCCGTGTCCTTTGGGTTCTGAAGTGCCCTCGAAGGAATGAACAAAGCGTGAGCTGTTGCTGAAGTGTACCAGCATGAAACTGCTCCCCTGGATGCAGACACTGCTGGGCGCTGAGCAGGTATACATCCCCAAATCCTTCCTGTATTGCTGGCAGAATTATGGACACTCCGCATAGGGATGCACTGGTGCTGGGCCAGTTTGGAGGAGTGGAGGAAGCACTTCCCACACTCAGCACTAATGTGGTTTCTTCTCTGTGTGGATGAGCTGGTGCTGGGTCAAGTGGGAGGATCGGGTGAAATTCCTACCACACTCCGAGCACTGATACGGCTTCTCCCCTGTGTGGATACGCTGGTGCTGAGTCAGACTGGAGGAATGAGTGAAGCTCTTCCCACACTCTGAGCACTGATACGGCTTCTCCCCTGTGTGGATGAGCCGATGCCGGGCCAGGGTGGAGGACTGGGTGAAGCTCTTCCCACACTCCAAGCACTGATGTGGCTTCTCCCCGGTGTGGATGACCCGGTGCCGGGCCAGTTTACAGGGTCGGTTGAAGCTTTTCCCACACTCTGGACACCGATATGGCTTCTCCCCCGTGTGGATGAGCTGGTGTTTGGTCAGGTAGGATTGGGTGAAGCTCTTCCCACACACCAAGCACTGATGTGACTTTTCCCCCGTGTGGGTAAGCTGGTGTTGGGCCAGGTTAGAGGATCGGGCGAATCTCTTCCCACACACCAAGCACTGATGTGGCTTCTCCCCTGTGTGGATAAGTTGGTGCTGGGCCAGGTTATAGGATCGGGAGAAGCTCTTCCCACACACCGAGCACTGATGTGGCTTTTCTCCTGTCTCTCTCAGCTCCATAAATTTTTCCCTGCACCCCCGGCTCTTTCTAGGCTCTGTCCCTTCTCCACTCTCATGCTCAACTGCAGATGGTACCTGGCTTATTGCTACATTCTCCTTCTGGTCTTGTGGCCTCCCCTGACTCCTGTGCCATTGCTCTCTCTCTGATCTCAGGAAGTCCATCTTGCCATAACTCCCTAGGGAAGTCCATGATGTCTCCAGGGCTGCAGGCCCTTCCACAGGAGGTTGCTCCTCAGCTCTGCTCAGCATCCAGGCACCTCCTGCATGGGGAAGAGAAACTCCAGATTAGTGCCTACCCTGATGGCAAAGGGCAAACGCTACTATTCCTTCTGCTGGGATGGACCACAGAGCAGGCCTGGACTTGGCACTTATGTTCCCTCAAGAAAACAAGGTCTTCCTGCCAAAACCCCAAGTGCTGGGGGCGAGGGAGGGGCAGGTCCCTGTGACAAGCTAATGTTCCCTACTCGGTGGAGTTCAGAGTCAGACTCTCAGAGTTTCTGGCCCAGCTGTCAGCACCCATCACCTCAGGCCCTTCTGGGAGAAGCAATGTGGAATGCGTGTGTTAGGGCAATGCCTGAACAGCTTCAGGTTCTAATGGGCTGAGAAGGAGGAAAGGAGTCAGAGCTGTGGCTCTGTCTTCTGAGAGGAGCAGGGCTGTGCTTCCTGACTGCTTCCAGGGAAAGGTCTTGTGCAAGGAATGCACCCAAGGAGCTCTCCTCTGTTGAAGGGTCTCAGGTGACCTCCATGTCACAGGAGTCTTCAAAGGGTCTAAAGCAGAGGTTCCCAACCTTTGGGCTGTGAGGGGTTGGCTGCTGGTCCGCAGGACGTATGGCTACCAGACCAGAAGTCCGGAAGTGACCGGCATACTGTGGACCAGCAGCTAACCCTTTTTTATCCTGAGTATAAAGTCACTTTCAGACTGTAGTACACTGGTCCGCAGTTTGCTGGTCTGCGGTCACTTCCAGTCTGCAGTTTGCCGGTCTGCCATCTAAAAAGGTTGGGAACCATTAGTCTAAGGCATGAACCTGAATCTAGACTCTGTGATAAATCTCAGGCTTTGTGATACTGAATGCCCCATGGAGGAAACAGGAAGGTGGTAATTCTGGTGCAACCATGGGGGATTCACTTCCCCCCACAACCTGAAATCTTGTGAATCCCATCCGTGCCATGGAGCCCTTGATAAAACTCTTCTGGGTTCCAGGTCAACCTGACCAGAAGCCAGGAAAAGCCTCAGATTCTTTCTTGTCCAACACAACTGGCTACGCAGAGCATCTGTATAGCATGCTGATTTCAATGGGGGACTACAAATCCCATCATACCCTGGCACTCTGGGCTTCACTGATAGTAGAGCCAGGTTGGGGATAGCTACAACTGACCTGGCAGGAGGTCCTCTGATCTTGAGATTTCCCCATGGTCCTCACCATCACAGACCCAGAGCTCCACCTGTCCTTCCTGGATGCTGCAGATTAAGTCAGGTGTGGGACCTTGATATCCTGTTTGGGCAGTGGTTAAATAGGGTTAGTGACTGGGTACTAGATGCAGAATAACCAGGTGGGATTTGGGGAACGGATCCAATGAACTCAAGGTTTCTACTACGGCCTACTATGGACAAGGGAGAATGGACCTTTAAGGTGAAAGAAGACACAGCAGGGAGAAGCCTTCAAGAGATGATGGTCTTTGTCACCCAGGTTTTGGAGGGATGGTCATAAGAAACAAAGCACAAACCACTCCTGAGCATTAAATTGACAGAGTCACCAGGGACAGGTGTGGAGATGTACATCTTGGATCAGTACTAATGAGCAGAAACACAAAGCTTTTACTGTTTTCAAAGTACCAAAAAGAAGAGATATTGGACAGACTTATAGATGTTTAAGATCTATCTTATCAGTGTTATTCCAGGAAAAGGAGTGAAAATGAGTGTATGGAAGGTTTAAAGCAAGGACTTGTGGCAGCGAAAAGCACACATGACAGGTACCTGACAATGAGACTTTTTATTTGGGGGGAGAGAGTAATTCATTACCAAGGACAGGAAAGGATGATTTCATAATACCTGTAGCTGCAAGTGAGTAATCATCCCCTCCATTGGGAGGATTGTACCTGAAGGGAAGATGAGTGCACAGCTTGACAATACTACAGGGTTTACCATAAAGTTCCTGGGAGTTGTGGATATGGAAAAAAGAAGGCATAAGGAGACACATTTCACAGCATATAAAAGGTCATAATATAGAAGTGGTCTATATGGTCTTTGTTGAGCTAAAGAAAACATTAAGGCACTTCCCTAAGGAAATCCTCTGGGTGAAAAGGAGGGGAAAAAAAGCACCAGAAAAGCAGACCTAGTAAAAGGTAAGTACGTCAACCCTGCGCACAAATCAGAACAAGCCCCTGTATTAGAGATCTTCTGGAAAGGAAAAGTGTTTTTTACTAGGTCTTGCAGCTAGCTCACTTCTTTTTACCACAATGATGGGTATCTGATCTGCAGAGGGATTTCAGGATGAGTACCAGAAAATGTTTGAGAATGGCAGAGGGAGCTTGAGAGCACAGGTCTTAACAAAAACACAGCAAAGCCAGAGAGTGGTCTATGGACATGAAGATGTTAAGAAGGGATGTGGGCAGAAGCTTCCAGTGACCCATGGCTAGAAGTACCTGGGTATCATCACGTCTACATATGTCACTAGAGGAGCAGTTGAGGAAATGCATCATCCACCTGTTGTAGCAGCAGAGCCTGATAAGACTTTCTATTAACTTCTGCTGGGTCATAACAACAGGAGAAAGGGGATTTAGATCTCACAGAACTGAGCATGCTAGGATTCTTTAAAGTGTTTGGAGAGGACACGCTAGGCCAGGCAGGGAAGAAATCAGAATCATTCCCCAAGGAACAGCTCTCAGTGCATTTATGTACAATGAACTGGAGATATGAACATGCTGCAAAGGCAAAGGGAGATCATGTTATCAAGAAACTGCTGCATGTGGAAAAACTAGGAGTTATAAGAATGGGGAAGACACAAGTGAAGGCGGCTGGATCAAATGAAGGTGGATATATCAGTCTGAAATGTGAGAGAGGTCTGATCACTGACAGAGCAGTGGGAGGAAGTGGATTAAAACCCGCAGCCAAAAGTTCATGAGGATGAGACTGTTGAAACACAGATGACTACAAAACTCCAGAGCTCCCATAGCTCCAGGGAGAAGCAAGAACCAGAGCTTTACCCAGGGAAACGAGGGCTTGGTAATTCTTCAGCATCTGGTCCTGGTAAAGCGCCTTGTTGTCATCGTCCAGCAGCTCCCACTCCTTCAGTGTGAAATACACGGCCACGTCCTCAAACACCTCCCAAAGCTGCAGGCACAAGCGTTACACCATCAGTGTCTCCCCTTCCATCTGCTTCCAGCCCCCACAGCCCTGTCTGCAATCACTCTGTGCTACAACTAGTTGCAATCATGGCCATGACAGGTAAGGGCACACACCATTCCCCAGTCTTCAGCTGACATGCGATGTGGATGCCGCTGTGGACCCAGGCGTTCATGTGTCACAGCTTTAGCCCAGCTCATCATGTTCTATTTTGCTCAGTCCTTTGAGCCTGGGCAGCAGTTTTAGGGCAGGGATCCCTGGCTCCATGCATTGTAACCAGGCCTTTCCCACGCCACACCCCACCTGGCTTTCTACACGTGGGAGGGAGCTCCTGCTAATGCAGCTGGGTGTGTTTGCAGCCTCCATCACCACAGGCTTGTCTCTCTGCTCCCCAGATTCCTACAGCACCCCTGGCTCCTCCTGCCCTCTGCCCCAGCTCTACTCCCACCCACGACTGAACCAGGTGCCCTGCTCACCTCCAAGCTCTCCCCCTGCTTTGGAGGCCTGCCCTGCCCCCTCTGCATTTGGCCTGGCTCAGGTGTCAAGGAGCCCCTTTCCTCCAGTCTCCCTGGGGAAGTCCTCTGCAGCTCCAGGTTTACAGGCTCTTTTCCAGGAGGCTGCTGCTCAGCTCTGCTCAGGATCCCAGCACCTGCGGGGTAGGGAAGAGAATTCTGGTGCTGCTGGCACGGGGGAAGCCCCGCTCATCTCCTGGACTGGCCTGGGACTAAGCATGGTGGAGGCTTCAGTGTGAGAAAGAAGGAGCAGAAGGAAGACTCGAAGTCGCACAGCTCTTGCTAACAGACCTCCACAGGCATGAGGCTGGAGATGAGTCCCAATAACTGTGTCCCAGTGTCAGGTGGTGATCACACCACGTCAGAGCCTGCAGGGACATCGCTCCCGGGGGAAGAAGCTCGAGGGATGTTGGGGGTTTATCAGCGTGCACATGTTAAGGGAGGGGGAGGGGAAATGCAAGGTCAGTCTTCTCCAGGGCATGTGAAATGTTTCCAGGAGAACTGGGGGAACAAGAACCGCTGATCTGTTGGAGCACTGACCCCACCAAAACGTTGCGGCAGAGATTTCTCCACGGAGGGACGGTGCCTCCTGCTGTTGCAGGAAAAGAGAGAACCAACGCCCCTTACCTGCTCCTGGGGAAGGGCCTCGTCTGGGGCACCAGCCTGAGCAGCTGTTGTCTGCTGACACCTCCCCGGTCTCCTCGGTTCCAGGGGACTCTGCAGCAGGACAGAGCCCTGGGTTAGCTGCACCGGAGCCAGCCGGGGGCCACTGGGGAGTCTCATTTCCCCGACACCTGCACCAGCCCCGTATTGGGCTCAGAGGGCTCGCGGGGACAGGAGAACGGGGCCAGTGAACACTGACTGTAGGAACATGAATGACATCACTCATTGTCACCATGGCAGCATGACAAGGCCCGAGCAAGATACAGCCTCCCTGTGCTGGGAGCTGCACACAAGAAAGATGGGTGCCCCCAGCCTGGGAGCTGCCCACACAGGGATCAGCTCTGTCCCAGCCCAGCCACGTCGGTATGAATCTTGCAGCCGGGTCACGGGCGGGGGCAGACACGTAACTGCAACCTCCATGTGCAGGACACACACTCGGGCACCCAGACCCACGTGCAGGCCTCCGTCCTGGACCTCACCTGGCTCCCGGGGGGGCGGGGCATCCTCTCTGGGGATGTCGGATGACTTGTCCCAAGGCCCCAGGTTTTCAATCTCTCCTGACTCCTCCAGGCGCCTGTCAGTATGACGGGCCCATCCGCCAAGAACATTGGGATGGGGAGAGCAGCACCCATGACCAGCATGAAACGATTTCCACTGGAGCGTCTCATCTTCCTCCTGCCCCACCAGGAATCCCTCAGCCAGGGTCGCAGCTTCAGCGCAGGTCTCCACGCCGTGCCCCCACTGCCAGCTCTCCATCTCCCGGGGCAGGATGGCCAGGAACTGCTCCAGCACCCCCAGCTCCAGCATCTGCTCCTTGCTGTGGTGCTGCGGCTCCAGCCAGCGCTGGGCCAGCTCCCGCAGCCGGCTAAAAACCTCCTGCAGCCCCTTGGCTTCCAGGCAGTGGACGGCCCGGAAGCGCTGGCGCCAGGTCTCTGGGGTGGGGAGGTCGTGCCTCGGTGCCGGTGGGGGCGTCTCTGGGGGAATCTCAGGCTGACAAGGTGGCTGCACGGCCTGATTCATCTCCTGCCCCTGCATCTCCTGATGTCGGACCGGCTCCCCCCGCAGCCGCCGGCTGTGGTGCCGACCACCCTGGGGACGGCCCGGATGACACGAGGGACGTGTCCTGCCCCCTCCGCCCCTGCCCGGAGCCGCCCTGGTGTGCCCTCGGGCTGGCGGGGAAGGCGCAGGCTGCCCCCGGCGCCGCCGACACGGGCTGCCCGGGGGGCG